TTTTTCTGAACTGTTGATACAAATTAAACCAAGAGTCTTGTGCCTCTCAAATTGGCCTAATCTGCCCTGAGTTTTATGTGTATCATTATTTGTTAATTTATTTAACCTTTATTTGTCCAGGTTAGTCTCATTGAGAACATCTCTTTTTCACTTTTTAATTGATGGAAAAAGTGTATTGCGCCTCTTAAACGATCCTTTCTAATCTGTCTGATTCCATTTAATTAGGCTTATCCGAGTCCACGAATATCGCTGCTGCAAGAGGTGAGCTAATTAGGGAGTACCAGGCCACCACAGGTCAGTTGATATGTTGCTAAAAGCTCTGCATCCTCAGGACAGGGCACCGGGAGGGAGGCCATTTTACAAAATCTCAGCTAAACTGCAATCTCACCCTCCATGAAATGAACATACATAGGCATTTTCATCTTGTTCCACCAGGGATATCTTAGTGCCTTCACTATGGCAATATCAAGCAAAATGGTGTGAGGTCCTCCATTAAGGCAGTCTGTGTTATTGTCTTTCATTAAGATTTTGCTAGCTAGCATAATGAGTCTTCATTAGGTGTAATGATTGTAAGAATGGTGACTAGTGATTGCCTGGTGTCTTGTGTGTGGTTGGCTGCATGGGAAGAGAGTTCGGAGGGGCCGTGCCAGCGTTAGCCACAATCACAAACACAGGGAATGATAGCTTACGGAAACGTGACATACTATCAACAGGGAAGCAGTGATTTTTGCACGTGATAATATTATGCTCAAGAGACCATTTTAAGTATACATCAAATCATCACAGCCTTTTTTGTAACATTTGAAATGATGGTTTAGTCACTGATTTGGGGGTCTTAAATGTATATTTGTATTTGATTAATTATTGGTTTTGATAAACATTTAATCAGACAGCATATTTAACAGTACTCATGTAACCTTCATTTTTAAATACATCCCAATTGGTTTCCTGAAGACCATGTTTCACATGCTGACATTTGAGTTCTCTTTTCATCTGATAACAGTTTTCACATGATGCAACCACCGTAAAGGACAATTTAAACATTTGAGTATAGGAAACAGTCCTCTTGTGGTTAGCTAGGCCCTTCTCAATGGAGGTAGCTACAATAACATTACTCTACTCCAGTGCACTCCAGCATCACACTCTAGCTTGGACATATTTATGGGCCTCCCTTTACCAAATGAACCACTGATACTTCAGATCTGTCTGAGGTACATGCACAGATTTCTCTTTCATCCAGCCACCTATGGAGGATTTCCATTGACAGTACAGAGTTCTGTTAAAACCTAGGAACAGCACTTGAATGCTATTGGCTCAATCAACTCTGTAGTAGATTAAAACCACATAACTAAAATGTTCATTCTATTTCAATGTACATTCTAGTTCTATGATTAGAATCAGATCCATTTACAGTGTCCAAGGTAGCCCAAAAAGATCCATGTCACGCCCTGGCTCTGGGGACTCTAATATGTTGAGCCAGGGTGTGTAAAGTATATGTGTTTTGTTCTAGGTTTCACATTCTAGTATTGTTTGTCTATGTTGGCCAGTGTGGTTCTCAATCAGAGGCAACGTGATTCAGCTGTTGCTTGTTGTCTCTGATTGAGAACCATACTTTAGCAGCCTGTTTCCCCACAGAGTTTGTGGGATCTTGTTTCTAGTCTGTTGTGTTAGACCGTGAACTGTCACGTTATCGTTTTTTGATCGTGTCTCTAATAAAGAGTATGTTTGCCTGCAACGCTGCGCCTTGGTCCGATCGTGACAATCCAAGCTGTCCTGAATCCGTCTATGAAGTTTTAATGTGAGGGTGGTGCCCCCATATAGGAATATAGAGCACTTAATGCTGCCTGAGGAAGACTGGTAGTCAAAACACGATATCCTGCACCATACCTAAGTGCATGAAAAAGCCATTAGAGATATGTGCTGTTTTCTTTTGTTTTTGCTAAACATTATTCCAAGCTCAAAAGCCTCTCTCTGCTCAAAGGGCTTTCGGTGGCTGGCTGTTCTCAAGGTTGTTTTATTATATATCCCTCAGATTCCATGGGTACTGAGTTGGGGTGAGCTCTAGAGCTGTGAGTTTTGATACAATGGAAATCCTTCATATTCCATTGTATTGTGCCGTTGGCAGTAACAACCTCCCAGAGCCCACAATCTGTGTTTGCTAGGCTGATCACACACTTCATGGCAGTTTGTTGCCGTTAGCACTTCTAGATCAAGCTCATCTGTGGTGCACTCCAATGCACCATTATTAGTGTATGCACGTCTCCAGCCTCAATATTCCAGACCCATTGCAAAACACCTTTTATTCAGCATGTAATTCAGTTAGCTGACTCTTGGCTGAGTGAAGCAAACATTTATTGGGATTGTTGAGACGTCTTAATGCATTGAGACGTTTTACAGAGGTGAGCCAACTCACAATACTGACCCTTCTGCTTGAGCACTGAAAAGAGTGAAGAGAACCAAAGATTCCTTTTATAAAATCTCACAAATGGAACATACACTGTTTGTAGCTTGCATTTCTTCAGTGTTTTGTGAAAGGGTTTGGGTAACCAGAATGTTTTCTCCCCATGTTTCTCTCCTAATTGGGTTTTTGGGGACTATGGCACTCTTGGTTGTCTTTACAAAATCTCAGAAATGGAACAACAGATCAACTGTTTGTACCTTGCATTTCTTACATTTTTACATTTTAGTCATTTAGCAGACGCTCTTATCCAGAGCGACTTACAGGTCCCCCATGGGAAACGAACCCACAACCCTGGCGTTGCAAGCGCCATGCTCTACCAACTGTTTTATGAAAGGGTTTTGGTAACAGAATGTTCTCTCGCCGTGTTTCTCTCCTAACTGTGTTTTTGGGGACTATGGCACTATTCATTGCCGTTATCCTCAGTTCCAGCTGCACTTTGGGACTGGTGTCAGTTTGTGAGAACTTTCATGTAGGGCAACACATAGAGATCAGTGGCAAACAGCAGGAGTTTTGCCCTTTTATCCAGTTTCTGGCTTGTCCTTTAATTTCAACCAGAGGGAAGTGCACATTTGTAAGAATGGAGCCTAAATGTCACGCCCTGACTCTAGGGACTTGTATTTGTTGAGTCAGGGTGTGTATTTTCTGTGTTGGGTTTGTCTAGGTTAGTTTCTAGATCGTTTAGATCTATGTTGGCCAGGGTGGTTCCCAATCAGAGGCAGCTGTAGCTCGTTGTCTCTGATTGGGGACCATACCTAGGTAGCCTGTTGGCACTAGTGGGGTGTGGGATCTTGTTCCGTGTGAGGTATGTTATTTGTCTACCTTGGACTTCACGTTTCGTTTGTTGTTTTTGTCGTGTGTTTAGTCGTCAATAAACATGAATGCATATCACGCTGCGCCTTGGTCCGTCTCGTCCGTAAACGATCCTGACAGAAGATCCCACCAATCCTGGATCAAGCAGCGTGACGAGGAGAGAGGATGGACTTGGGAGGAGATGAGCGAGAGTCTGGCAAGAGGGATGGAGGCCATGATCACGGGGGAGAGACAAGCCCCAAAAATGTTTAGGTGGGGGCTCACGCCGTGGACGACAGCAGGAGGCCGCAATAGAGCGGTTCAGCCGTTTAGCAGAGGAGGCCGCCAGATTAAGGGGGTCATTGGTTCAGAGGGAACAGAAGGAAAGTGTAGAGGCACGGCGAGAGGAGCTGGTTAGGCAGCAGAAGGAGCGGGGGTTAATGAAGGAACCCAGTCCCGCTCCTCGCACCAATCAAGTGGTGCGTGTCGCCAGTCCGGTCCGGCCCGTTCCTGATTCCCACACTAAGCCAGTGGTGGGTGTTCCCAGTACGGTTCGGCCCGTTCCTGCTCCTCGCATCAAGCCAGTGGTGCGCATCGCCAGCCCGGTCCGGCCTGTTCCTGTCCCTCGCACCAAGTCAGTGGTGCACGTCGCCAGCCCGGCCCGGCCTGTTCCTGCCCCGTGCACCAAGCCAGTGGTGCGCGTCGCCGGCCCGGCCTGTTCCTGCTCCCCGCACCGGTGCGCGTCGCCAGTCCGGTACAGCCCGTTCCTGCTCCCCGCACCAAGCCAGGGGTGCGCGTCGTCAGGCCAGTCCGGCCCGTTCCTGCTCCCCGCACCAAGCCAGTGGTGTGTGTGTCCAGTCCGGCACGGCCCGTGCCTGTTCCACCGGTGCCTGGTCCAGCTCCGGTCAGCGGCTCCACTCCGGAGCCAGAGCAGTCCGCTCCACCGATGCATGATCCAGTTCCGGTCAGCGGCTCCACCCCGGAGCCAGAGCAGTTCGATCCACCGTCGTCGGGTCCAGCTCCAGTCAGCGGTTCCAGTCCAGACCCAGACGTCAGCCCCTCTCCAGGTTCGGGGTCTCCCACACCAGGGTCCAGACAGGGCTTGGTACTTCGTGGGAGGAAGGAGAGGGGAAGCAGCGCGCCGAGGTCCAGACCAGACCAGGGGCGCAACGGGGGGGTGGAGAGTAAGTGGTGGTCACACCCGGAGCCGGATCCACCGCCGTCTGCACCTTTGGGGGGGGGGGGGTACTGTCACGCCCTGACTCAAGGGACGTTTATTTGTTGAGTCAGGATGGGTATATTCCGTGTTGTGTTTGTTCATCGTTATAGAATCTATGATGTGTAGATCTATGTTGGCCGGGGTGGTTCCCAATCAGAGGCAGCTGTAGCTCGTTGTCTCTGATTGGGGACCATACTTAGGCAGCCTTTTGGCACAAGTTAGTTGTGGGATCTTGTAAGGTATGTTTGTGTGTTACCTTGGACTTAACGTTTCATTTGTTGTTTTGTCGCGTGTTCATTCGTTAAATAAACATGTATGCTTATCACGCTGCGCCTTGGTCCTTCTCGTTCGTAAATGATCGTGACACTAAATGCATAGCAAGCTTAGCCTAGCATGATGTAGTGGTCTTTGCTGTGCTGATGTTGTGGATAGGTGCTGATTTTCTCTCTTTTCATTTTACCTCGCTGCTTATAGTGCTGATGGAAAAATCATTTATTCATATTTCCTCTGTTCCCTTTTTCTCTCCTCAGCTCCATCCAGACTGAAAACGATGATGATGAAGTGACCAACAAAACCTGGGTGTTGACTCCCAAAGTGTACGAAAGCGATGTCACCAACATCCTAAACAGCCTACTAGATGGCTACGATAACAAACTTCGACCAGATATAGGAGGTAGGTGTCATACCACTGCACATTGATTGGCTGCTGCTGCTATGGCCGCCCTCCCCGTTACCAATCTCCATTCTCATCAACATCGTCAACACAAGCCATGAGGGATGAGCAGACACCATCATCACTGCTAGCATCATCAGAGACAGCCCTCTCATTTCAATGAGCCCATTCAGACTACAGGACCGTAGGCCCACCACAGTATGACTCATGTAGACGAAACAGCATGCTAGCATTGTTATGCAGAGACAGCGTTAGCTGTGAAACCTGGACGGGCTGGTAATGCATCATGGGCCTATTAGCATTGTCTGTCACTGCTGTGGGCCAAGTATAGACCCAGTGAAAGAGCTTTCTCTCCCTTCACTTTGACTGGCAGCTGTGCTCAGCTCCCATGTTCAGACAGAATGCGTATACAGGTGTAAGATCTTAATTTGACCCGTATCGTTGCAGGAAAATTATTCTGCAGCGACAGGATTTTAATGTTTAGTCCATAATGTTGCTTGATCAGGTGGTTAGGCTACTAGCTGACCAAAATCAGTCTACGAGAAAAGTGCAATAATGTTAATATAACCATGTGTTAGTGCAGGTGTTCAGTAAATGTGTGTAAATCATTAAGCTCATCTGCATTTCCTGCAACGCAGGAACATTCTCAGTGACAACAGAGTGATCAAATTAAGATCCTACATCTGTAGCTACAGTATATCTACACTCTTATAAAAAAGGGTTCTAAAATGGTTCTTCGGCTGTCCCCATAGCAGAACCCTTTTTGGTTCCATGCAGAACCCTTTTTGGTTCTAGGTATATCCCTTTTGGGTTCCATGTAGAACCCTCTGTAGAAAGTCTAGCACATACCAATAGACTTCCAGTCATTGTGCTAATGCTAGTTAGCATTGGCCTGTGAAATTACCTCTAACTTCCTTCTTACTGGACACAGAGGCATAAAAATGGTATCCACAAGTTCATCTGACTCTGGGGAAGTAGACAAAGTGCTTCATTGCCAAAATCCCAAAGTATCCATTTAAGTACTTTACACCACTGCACAGATACAGTGGGTTATAATTAGCTAACAACAACCAAGAGCGCTTTTTCTCCTACAATCACTGGGATTTGGATTCATTGCAGATTGTGCCACAGTTCTTTTGAAGTCCATTTTGCAGCTCATTCAATTTTAATGCTGCTGCAGTTTATGTATAGCAATAGAGCAAAGAAGAGAGATAGACAGGGAAATACATTTTCCTTTCCTCGATTTATGATATCACAAGGGCGCAGGCTGGATTGTCATTATGGATGAAAATAAATGGTGTGCTTCATAGCATGCAGGTATAAACAAGAAATAATGTAATGCCATCCTGGAGCGAAATGAAATCGGACATCCAAATGGACGTACTGATAGTTTGCTTCATTTATTGTTTTGCTTTAGGTTTTACACGTCATTGCACCTTTGATGAGTATTCCCATGATGAAAGTAGAAGTTTGTTTATACCACTGCATTAATGTTATCATTCTAAAATGTTTTTATTAATTTTGTATACCGCCATATTTTTTGTGTTTTTCAAAGACATCTCTATATATATTTAGAGAGAGAGAGCGCGCACCATGAGCAGCTCCACCATGCCATCATTTCAAACTCATACACTAACTGCTACAGCACTACAAGCTATTTAGCCTTTACATCAGCTCCCTCCAAAGATTTTCTATTGGGTTCAGGTCTGGAGACTGGCTAGGCCACTCCAGGACCTTGAGATGCTTCTTACGGAGCCACTCCTTAGTTGCCCTGGCTGTGTGTTTTCGGGTCGTTGTCATGCTGGAATACCCAGCCACGACCCATCTTCAATGCTCTTACTGAGGGAAGGAGGTTGTTGGCCAAGATCTCGCGATACATGGCCCCATCCATCCTCCCCTCAATACGGTGCAGTCGTCCTGTCCCCTTTGCAGAAAAGCATCCCCAAAGAATGATGTTTCCACCTCCATGCTTCACAGTTGGGATGGTGTTCTTGGGGTTGTACTCATCCTTCTTCTTCCTACAAACACGGCGAGTGGAGTTTAGACCAAAAAGCTCTATTTTTGTCTCATCAGACCACATGACCTTCTCCCATTCCTCCTCTGGATCATCCAGATGGTCATTGGCAAACTTTAGACGGGCCTGGACATGTGCTGGCTTGAGCAGAGGGACCTTGCGTGCGCTGCAGGATTTTAATCCATGACGGCGTAGTGTGTTACTAATGGTTTTCTTTGAGACTGGGGTCCCAGCTCTCTTCAGGTCATTGACCAGGTCCTGCCGTGTAGTTCTGGGCTGATCCCTCACCTTCCTCATGATCATTGATGCCCCACGAGGTGAGATCTTGCATGGAGCCTCAGGCCGAGGGTGATTGACCGTCATCTTGAACTTCTTCCATTTTCTAATAATTGCGCCAACAGTTGTTGCCTTCTCACCAAGCTGCTTGCCTATTGTCCTGTAGCCCATCCCAGCCTTGTGCAGGTCTACAATTTTATCCCTGATGTCCTTACACAGCTCTCTGGTCTTGGCCATTGTGGAGAGGTTGGAGTCTGTTTGATTGAGTGTGTGGACAGGTGTCTTTTATACAGGTAACGAGTTCAAACAGGTGCAGTTAATATAGGTAATGAGTGGAGAACAGGAGGGCTTCTTAAAGAAAAACTAACAGGTCTGTGAGATACTGTAAGATAGACAGAGACATATATAACACCAATAACAACCTAAACACAGAATACCCCATCGTTCATCGAATGTGCATCATTACACTTGTTTTTTTCTTCTTTCAGTCAAACCAACCGTGATCCACACGGACATGTTTGTCAACAGTATCGGCCCAGTAAATGCTATCAATATGGTGAGTATATTAGTCCCTTCTCAAATTACACTCTGAAGCTACAGTAATATTCCCTTTCGGTAGCTGGCAAATTGTTTTTGTTCATTGTCTCATCATTGCACTTTTTCCATACATTTGACATCATGGTCTGTTTATGTACACACAAAGCTTCATTTCAAAATAGATAGATACAATGGAAGTCGTAATGTTGATCAATTGCGTTATGTAAGGAATTACAAAATTGTGTTATGCTTGTGTTGCTTTCATGTCATGCCATGGATTGTTGCATACATCAAACCTGAGATAATATGGCCTAATTCCTGCTCAAGGTAATATCATAGCTTTTGTTGCATTTCCTTGGCTATGGTTGTCAGATAAACATACAGAATAAGCAACTCCAAGATGGTTGTTGCTATTTGTAGACAGAGTACAGGAGTTAAGCTGGGCTGTAAAAATAGGGCAGGATGGGTATGGCTTGAAGAGCCTGCAGCCATTGTGTCCCATTGTACTCTAACTGAAATCCCTGCTGAGGTTCCAATTTCATTGTAATTCAGCACAACAATCTCTCATCTCCATCATCGGCGAGCACCAAGCCACAGAGAGAGTCTTAGCACAAGTATAGCTCTGTTGCTGTCATCACGGGGTTAAGAGACAGTTTGATCTCCTGTTAATCACCTTGAGGCTGTGTATGTGTGCGTTGTGATGTCTGTTTGCATGTGAGTGTGCCTATGTGTGTGCATGCACATGCATGTGTGAAGACCATATTGATTGCTGTACATTCAGATATAATCAGTCTTGTGGGTACGTTCACATTAAATCACATGGCTGTTGTTGAGGAAATGGTGGTGAGGATGCTAGTTTTTCTACAAAGAGGATTATGGGTCGACTGATGATTCAGGGGTGTCTCGAAGCATGAGCATGATGGTGAATAGTATGGTATGCACTAGGACTACTCACTCTGCCAGAGCTCTTAGGATCATCCATTTGGTGCAAGGCCTGCTTGGGTGGATCGTAAGTTGAAATGTCCTGTGCAAAGATAGTTTCAAGTTTTATTAGTCATATGTATCCTTACTTCCAGGTTCCTTCTCGACAATGCAACAACAATAAGAAATAATAAAATAAGAATATCAACATAAAGGAAATGGCTCAGTAGAATAGAATAGACATTTTAGCGTAAGTATAATACAGGAAGGCACAATTTATAGTAGAATATTTCATATGTATCAGGGAAAGGGGGATTGGGGGGAAAGTGTTTAAATTGTACAGTATTAGTAATAGTAAATAAGAGTCTGGTAGCAGCAGTTGTGATGTGTGTGTAACATGTACACTACTGTTCAAAAGTTTGGGGTCACTTAGAAATGTCCGCAATTTTTCTGTCCATTAAAATAAAATAAAATAGATCAGAAATACAGTGTAGACATTGTTAATGTTGTAAATGGCTATTGTAGCTGGAAACGGTTGATTTTTAATGGAATATCTACATAGGCGTACAGAGGCCCATTATCAGCAACCTTCAGTCCTGTGTTCCAATGGCACATTGTGTTTGCTAATCCAAGTTTATCATTTTAAAAGACTAATTGATCATTAGAAAACCCTTTTGCAATTATGTTAGCACAGCTGGAAAATGTTGTGCTGATTAAAGAAGCAATAAAACTGACCTTCTTGAGACTAGTTGCAAAGAAAAACCATATCTCAGACTGGCCAATAAAAATAAAAGATTAAGATGGGCAGTCTGAGATATGGCTTTTTCTTTGCAACTCTGCCTAGGAGGTCAGCATCCCGGAGTCACCTCTTCACTGTTGACGTTGATACTGGTGTTTTGCAGGTACTATTTAATAAAGCTGCCAGTTGAGGACCTGTGAGGCGCCTGTTTCTCAAACTAGATACTCTAATGTATTTGTCCTCTTGCTCAGTTGTGCACCGGGTCCTCCCACTCCTCTTTCTATTCTGGTTAGAGCCAGTTTGCACTGTTCTGTGAAGGGAGTAGTACACAGCATTGTACGAGATCTTCAGTTTCTTGGCAATTTCTCGCATGGAATAACCTTCATTTCTCAGAACAAGAATAGACTGACAAGTTTCAGAAGAAAGTTATTTGTTTCTGGCCATGTTAAGCCTGTAATCGATCCCACAATTGCTGATGCTCCAGATACTCAACTAGTCTCAAGAAGGCCAGTTTTATTGCTTCTTTAATCAGCACAACAGTTTTCAGCTGTGCTAACATAATTGCAAAAGGGTTTTCTAATGATCAATTAGCCGTGTAAAATGATAAACTTGGATTAGCAAACAAAACGTGCCATTGGAACACAGGACTGATGGTTGCTGACAATGGGCCTCTGTACGCCTATGTAAATATTCCATAAAAAATCTGCCATTTCCAGCTACAATAGCCATTTACAACATTAACAATGTCTACACTGTATTTCTGATCAATTTGATGTTATTTTAATGGACAGAAAAATTGCTTTTCTTTCGAAAACACGGACATTTCCAAGTGACCCCAAACTTTTGAACGGTAGTGTGTGTGTGTGTGTGTGTGTGTGTGTGTGTGTGTGCTAAGGTGCAGGTGGTCAGTCCAGTTCAAGTGTTCAGCACTCTGATGGCTTGTAGATAGAAACCGTCTCTGAGCCTGTTGGTAGCAGAGCTCATGCTCCAATATCGTCTGATCGGCGGTAAGGGAGTGAACAGCTCATGGCTGGGGTGTGTTGGGTCCTTGATGATGTTGGGGGACTTCCCAACACCCTGTTTCTAGTAGATGTCCTGAATGGGTTAGAACACAGCCCCAGTGATGTACAGGACCGTCTTCACCACCCGCTGGAGTGCCTTGCGATCGTGGACGGAGCAATTCCCATACAAAACTGCTGACTCTCTACTGCAGTCCCGTTTATGTGGATCGGGCGTGTTCCCTCCTCTGATTCCTGTCAATCAACAATCAACTCCTTTGTTTTGCTGACGTTGAGAAAGAGGTTTTTGTCCTGGCACCACAATGCTAGTTCACTTACCTCGCCCCTATAGGCTGACTCGTCATTATTGGTTATCAGACCTACAACCATGGTGTCGTCAGCAAACTTGATGATGGAGTTGGCGTCGTGCAAAGCCACGCAGTCATGGGAGAACAGGGAGTACAGCAGAGGGCTGAGGACACACCCCTGGGGGGGCCCTGTGTTAATAGTCAGTGTGGAGGAGGTGTTGTTGCCAATCCTCACAGCCTGTGGTCTGCCCGTCAGGAAGATCCAGTTGCAAAGGGTAGTGTCTGGACCCAGGGGTCAGAGCTTAGTGTTGAGCTTAGACGGAAAAATAGTGTTGCATGCTGAACTGTGGTCAATGAACAGTATTCTCGCATAGGTGTCCCTCTTGTCCAGATGTGTTAGGGCTGTGTGAATAGCGTTGGAAATGGCATCTTCCGTGGATCTGTTGGAGCGGTAGGCAAATTGGAGTGGGTCCAGTGTGCCTGGCACGCTGGCCTTGATGTGGGCCATAATCAGCCTCTCAAAACACTTTATGATGACAGCGGTGAGTGCGACGGAGCGATAGTCCTCGTCCCCTGCCTCAGGTGGACCAGCCGCTCACCTGCCTCTCGACCCTCGGGCGGGTGATCGAAGTCCGCCCGAAAGAGGCGAGCGAACTCCCCGTAGTCCTCCAACTCCAGGGCTTTCCCCGAGAGGCAGGAAACGAGGACGGACACCTTCTCCCGCTCCGATGGCGCCGGCCTGATGCTGGAGAAGTAAAGCTCCAGTTGGAGGAGGAATCCTTGGCAGAGCGCCGCCGTCCCGTCGAACGCCCGTGGTCAGGATATCTGGATCCCTCCGGGTGCTGGGGTGTAGGTGGCTGGATCCGGTTGGCCAGCTGGTCTCGACAGATCGGGTCCTCTCCTCTCCAGGCGTTGGACGACCTGAAGAACCCGATCCATCGCTTCCCCCAAGCTGGCCATCATCGTGGAATGCTCCTGGACCCGTGCCATGAGTCAGGCGCAGGAGGGTAATCACCAAATGCAGAGTTTATTCCGTCGTACACAAATAGCGCTGGATATCGACAAAGGAAACAGGCACAGGGGAAAATCTGCCCTGGCAATACAAGGTAACGGTAGCTCCAACAATAACAGGCAATAACAAGGTACGAGTAGCTCCACCGAGCTACACTACATTCTGAGCAAAGAAAGTAATAATTAACACAAAAATAGCCATAAAAAAGCAAACTCGAGCAGGAACCGACAAGACGTGCGCCCTCCTCAGCTCCGCCATCTTAATCTAAGATAGTAAGATGCATTCTATTATGGTCAGTAGTCTGAGGTTGAAATTCAACCGAAGCTGCCGTAACAATGTTTGCAAATGTTTGTCTGTACATTCACACTTCTAATTCCGAAAAAGAAGCATCTAGCTATCTTATAACAGGAATCTACATGGGATCAGCAGCTTTATACTATCCCCCAAACCAGTTTTAGTAGACTCTGGTGGTAAAAGAGATAAGTAGCCTACGAGATATTCACGAATTTGACGAAAACCACCTCAACATTTTTTATACCTCCAGTTTTGGGTTTAATGTGTCAATGTATAGTTAATGTACATGAATAATCAATTAATTTAATTACTGTTTTACTTTAGCCACGGAATCCCTTATTTAAGACAGATTTGAGACAGACACTTTTTTAAAGCTGGAGGCAGCCATTTTTCCAACCTAAGGGTCATACGGAATCTGGGCAAGCCCCTAGCCATTTGATTGAAAGCCAGCAAGACGCACCAGAAACTGTGTGTTCTTCCTCTACGAGACAGACAGCCTACAGTAGTCGACCTAATAACTATAAGTAGTTAACACAAATACTTTCAAGAATCAAACATATCAGCCGAACAGGTAACGTATATAGGCTATGCATAATACACCACATGACCAAAAGTGTGTGGACAACACTAGATGTTGGAGCATTGCTGCAGGGACTTGCTTCCATTCAGCCACAAGAGCATTAGTGAGGTCGGGCATTGATGTTGGGTGATTAGGCCTGGCTCGCAGTCGGCGTTCCAGTTCATCCCAAAAGTGTTCGATGGGTTTGAGGTCAGGGCTCTGTGCAGGCCAGTCAAGTTCTTCCACAGCGATCTCGACAAACCATTTCTGTATGGACCTCGCTTTGTGCATGGGGGCATTGTCATGCTGAAACAGGAAAGGGCCTTCCCCAGACTGTTGCCACAAAGTTGGAAGCACAGAATCATCTAGAATGTCATTGTATGCTGTAGCATTAAGATTTCCCTTCACTGGAACTAAGGGGTCTAGCCCGAACCATGAAAAACAGCCCCAGACCATTATTCCTCCTCCACCAAACTTTACTCTTGACACTATGCATTGGGGCAGGTAGCGTTCTCCTGGCATCCGCCAAACCCAGATTCGTCCATCGGACTGCCAGATGGTGAAGCGTGATTCAACGTGTTTCCATTGCTCCAGAGTCCTATAGCGGTGAACTTTACACCACTCCAGCCGACGCTTGGAATTGCGCATGGTGATCTTATGCTTGTGCTACCCGTTCTGTGAGCTTGTGTGGCCTACCACTTCGCGGCTGAGCCGTTGTTGCTCCTAGAGGTTTCCACTTCACAATAACAGCACTTACAGTTGACCAGGGCAGCTCTAGCGGGGCATAAATTTGGCAAAATGACTTGTTGGAAAGGCGGCATCCTATGACGGGGCCACATTGAAAGTCACTGAGCTATTCAGTAAGGTCATTCTACTGCCAATGTTTATTGATGGAGATTGCATGTCTGTACGCTCGATTTTATACACCTGACAATGGGTGTGGCTGAAATAGCTGAAATTGAAGGGGTGTCCACATACTTTTGTATATATACTGTATGTTTTTATTCCAAATGTATGGTATTATTTATGAACACTTATTTATGAATCAATGTATTGACATGTATTTTACAACAACCGATCGTTGTCTATAGAATGCTGATTAGCTTAAAATATGTTTGATAAAGTAGGTTATACTTTATAAAAATATATGCTACAAAGTATGTGATGTAAATTGTATACTGATATATACTGTATACTGAATTGATTTATGAGGCTTCATGTACAGTAGGCCTCGATATCCTGACTGTTTGATTATACTTGTTTTTTTAGACTGTGAAAGCCCATTAGCTCTGAGACTTAGATCAGGCTGGGGTGGAATGGGATGGACCCCCCCTACTGTGTTGAGAGACAGAGGTAGGATAGGAGCAAGGCCCAAATTAAAAGGCATGGGAGCCATGTCATTGACTTTGGGCTGTCTGTTTATTTATATATTTTTTAAATAGCCTATTGAATTGGCATAAATGTTTTCTGGGTAACAGAGTTGCTTTTTATCTTGTGTATGACTCTTTGGTCTGGATTTGGGCTTTATTGTTGGGCTAAGCTTTGTAGAAAAGTTAATGCCTCTATACCCTCTCACACACACACAACTCCCCAGATTTTTCTCTACCCGCACATCACTTTTTAACCTCAGGACCATTCCATAAAGCATAATGAAAAAAATAAAATGGTCAAATAATAATCAAATATTATACCCCCTCTCTGCACATCTCTATTTTTCTCTCTTTCACTTTCCCTCTTTTTCTTCCTTTCTCTCTCTCTCTCTCCTCTCTCGCTCTCACTCTCCTCTCTCTTTGTCTCTCCTCTCTCTATCTCTCACTCAAACACACACACACACGACTACCCACACACACTGCTCTCTCCTTTCTTCGGTGCTCTATTGAATAGACTTCATATACAGTGCCTTCAGAAAGTATTCACATCCCTTCACTTTTTCCACATTTTGTTGTGTTACAGCCTGCAATTAAAATGGATAAAATTGAGATTTCTTGTCACTGGCCTACACACAATACTCCATAATGTCAAAGTGGAATTATGTTTTTCAAGTTTTTTACAAATTAACTAAAAATGAAAAGCTGAAATGTCATGAGTCAATAAGTATTCAACCCCTTTGCTATGGCAAGCCTAAATAAGTTCAGGAGTAAAAATGTGCATAACAAGTCACATAATGAGTTGCATGGACTCACTCTGTGTGCAATAATAGTTTTTAACATGATTTTTGAATGACTACCTCATCTCTGTACCCCACACATACAATTAACTGTAAGTTCAGTCAGTCGAGCAGTGGATTTCGAACACAGATTCAACCACAAAGACCAGGCCAATGGTGACTTTAAAACAGTTACAGAGTTTAATGGCTGTGATAGGAGAAAACTGAGGATGGATCAACAACATTGTAGTTACTCCACAATACTAACCTAAATGACAGAGTGAAAATAAGGAAGCCTGTACATCAGGGTTCTTCAATTCCGGTCCTGGAGGGCCGAAACACTTCTGTTTTTTATTTCTACCTGGTAGTTAATTGCAATCACCTGGTGTCCCAGGTCTGAATTAGCCCCTGATTAGAAGGAGAGGATGAAAAACAGAGGTGTTTCGGCCCTCCAGGACCGGAATTGAAGAACCCTGCTGTACATAATAAAAATGTTCCAAAACATGCATCCTGTTTGCAACAAGGCACTAAAGTAATACAGCAAAAAATGTGGCAAAGCAATTAACTTTTGGTCCTGAATAAAAAGTGTTATGTTTGGGGCAAATCCAATACAACGCATTACTGAGTACCACTCTCCATATTTACAAGCATAGTGGTGGCTGCATCATGTTATGGGTGTGCTTATAATCGTTAAGGACTGGGGAGTTTTTCAGGATAACCTGGTTCAGTATGTTTTCCACCAGACACTGGGAGATGAATTCACCTTTCAGCAAGACAATAATCTAAAACTCTAGGCCAAATTTACACTGGAGTTTCTTACTAAGAAGACAGTGAATGTTCCTGAGTGGCCGAGTTACAGTTTTGACCTAAATCTACCTGAAAATGGTTGTCTAGCAATGATCAACAACGAATTTGACATTGCTTGAAGAATTTTGAAAATAATAATGGTCAAATGTTGCACAGTCCAGGTGTGGAAAGCTCTTAGAGATTTACCCAGAAAGACTCAAAGCTGTAATCACTGCCAAAGGTGCTTGGACAAAGTATTGACTCAGGGGTGTGAATACTTATGTACATTAGATATTGCTGTATTACATTTTTTATAAATGTTAAAATGTATGGGATATTATGTGATATTGTGTGTAGATGGGTGATAAAACAATCGATTTAATACATTTTGAATTCAGGCTGTAACACAACAAAATGTTGAATAAGTCAAGGTGAATGAATACTTTCTGAATGCTCTGCATACAGGTAATTGCCAAAATAAAAGAAACACTTGTGTAAAGAGGGATACAAAGTATATTGAAAGCAGGTGCTTCTACACAGGTATGGTTCCTGAGTTAATTAAGCAATTAACATCCCATCATGCTTAGGGTCATGTATAAAAATGCCCAGTTGCCCATTATTTTGGCTACCATGGCTAGAAGAAGAGATCTCAGTGACTTTGAAATAGGGTCTCAAAGGAGCATAGGGGTTTAAAGGGTGTGTGTGTGTGTGTGTGTGTGTGTGTGTGTGTGTGTGTGTGTGTGTGTGTGTGTGTGTGTGTGTGTGTGTCTCGGTCACCAGATCTCAACCCAATTGAGATTCTGGAGTGGCACCTGAGACAGAATTTTCCACCACCATCAACAAAGCACAAAATTATGGAATTTCTCATGGAAGAATGGTGTTGCATCCCTCCAATAGAGTTCCAGACACATATAGAATCTATGCCAAGGCGCATTAAAGCTGTCCTGGTGGCTTGTAGTGGCCCAAGCCAGGAGGACGGGAGAGAAGGACTGGAGGAGTTGAGAGAAGAGGATGAAGTGACCTGTATTTCCCAGCCCTGTTGAATGGGAGACAGAGATCACTGCAGGAAACAATTCTCAGGGAGGTTATGAGGTTAGATCATGCTTCTGCTAAACAATGGAAGATTAAGGTCACTTTATTTGTCAATTGCACACAAGGTCCAACCGAAATGTGACTTTCACTTTTAATTAACCCAACCCCTCCGAAAGACACACAGGTTTTGGAGAGGTCCAGGGGGCTGCCACACTGGGCACCCAGGGAGCTGTTATTGTGGGGGGGGGGTTAAGAGCCTTACTCTATGGCACAACAGCAGGTAATGACTTCTAGGATTTGATACCCTCCAGTTGCCAGCTCACCTTCGAACAGATTTTTTCCTGTCAGACCCGGGATTCGAACTGGCAACCCTCCAGCTTTTGGATCGCCGCTCTAACCGCTAAGCTACCTGCCGCCCCAGGGAAGCCATTCTTTGCCCTGTTATACATTTCATTTTCAAGTTTAGATGGTCCAGTTCAGCAGCACTATTTCATCGGGACAAAGGATTCATGGCTGGAAAGGAAGCCATTTTTCTTTGAGAAAGTGCTCTTCCAATGTAAAACTGCCCTCAGAATAAAAGGTTTGGTGGAACCCGGAGAGTGATTTGTATTAACAGTTCTGGAGGACTCTCATCCTGTTAAGGGTCTCAGGGCACTCAGATCCAGTTAAGGATCCCAGGGTGCTCTATGGTAGTGTTTTTATTCGTTGTTAAATTTCAACACAGACTTTAACGTGTATATAGTCAAAAGTTTGGACACACCTACTCATTCCAGGGTTTTTCTTTATTTTTACTATTTTCTACATTGTAAAATAATAGTGAAGACATCAAAACTATGAAATAACACATATGGAATCATGTAGGAACCAAATAAGTGTTAAACAAATCAAAATATATTTAATATTTGAGATTCTTCAAATTGCCACCATTTGCCTTGATGACAGCTTTGCACACTCTTGGCATTCTCTCAACCAGCTTCACCTGGAATACTTTTCCAACAGTCTTGAAGGAGTTCCCACATATGCTGAGCACTTGTTGGCTGCTTTTCCTTCACTCTGCGGTCCGACTCATCCCAAACCATCTCAATTGGGTTGAGATCGGGGGATTGTGGAGGCCAGGTCATCTGATGCAGCACTCCATCGCTCTCCTTCTTGGTAAAATAGCCCTTACACAGCCTGGAGGTGTGTTGGGTCATTGTCCTGTTGAAAAACAATTGATAGTCCCACTAAGCTCAAACCAGATGGGATGGCGTATCACTGCAGAATGCTGTGGTAGCCATGCTGGTTAAGTGTGCCTTGAATTCTAAATACATCACAGACAGTGTCACCAGCAAAGCACCCCCACACCATAACACCTCCTCCTCCATGCTTTACAGTGAGAACTACACATGCGGAGTTCTTCCGTTCACCCACACCGCATCTCACAAAGCCATTGCTGTTGAAACCAAATATCTCAAATTTGGACTCCAGACCAAAGGACAAATTTCCACCGGTCTAATGTCCATTGCTCGTGTTTCTTGGCCCAAGCAAGTCTCTTCTTCTTATTGGTGTCCTTTAGTAGAGGTTTCTTTGCAGCAATTTGAACACGAAGGCCTGATTCACACAGTCTCCTCTGAGTAGTTGATGTTGAGATGTGTCTGTTACTTGAACTCTGTGAAGCATTTATTTGGGCTGCAAATTCTGAGGCTGGTAACTCTAATGAACTTATCCTCTGCAGCAGAGGTAACTCTGGGTCTTCCATTCCTGTGGCGGTCCTCATGAGAGCCAGTTTCATCATAGTGCTTGATGGTTTTTGCGACTGCACTTGAAGAAACTTTCAAAGTTCTTGAAATGTTCCGTATTGACTGACCTTCATGTCTTAAAGTAATGAAAGACTGTTGTTTCTGTTTGCTTATTTGAGCTGTTCTTGCCGTAATATGGACTTGGTCTTTTTCCAAATAGGGCTATCTTCTGTACACCCGCCCTACCTTGTCACAATACAACTGATTGGCTCAAACGCATTAAGAAGGAAATAAATTCTACAAATGAACTTTTAAGAAGGCACACCTGTTAATTGAAATGCCTTCCAGGTGACTATCTCATGAAGCTGTTTGAGAGAATGCCAAGAGTGTGCAAAGCTGTCATCAAGGCAAATGGTGGCTATTTGAAGAATCTCATATTTAAAATATATTTTGATTTGTTTAACACTTTTTTGGTTACTACATGATTCCATATGTGTTATTTCATAATTTTGATTTCTTCACTATTATTCTACAATGTAAAAAATAGTACAAATAAAGAAAAACCCTTGAATGAGTAGGTGTGTCCAAACATTTCACTGGTAGTGTAAATGATGACTGTGAATGGAATTCACTCAAAACTACCATAGTGATGGGCAATTAATTAGGCACTGTCTTTGTTTATGAAATACTGCCTATGCACATACTTCTTATTCTGAAATGGGATACATCTACCTGTAAGGGAAGTCTACCTTGTATTAGTAGTAGCAGGTTGTTACAGTAGTAAAAAACATTATCTGATCTCATTTGGCCTTAGGAAAAAGAGCTACTGCGTAATACCGCCATGCCGGTTTGATTGAATCGAGCCTGTGATTCTTTTCCTTCCGCAGGAGTACACCATCGACATCTTTTTTGCCCAGACGTGGTATGACCGGAGATTGAAGTTCAACAGTACCATGAAGGTCCTGCGTCTCAACAGCAACATGGTAGGCAAGATCTGGATACCCGACACCTTCTTCCGCAACTCCAAGAAGGCTGACGCCCACTGGATCACCACGCCCAATCGCATGCTCCGGATCTGGAACGATGGACGGATACTCTACACACTGCGGTGAGATGTCCAATGAAGAAGCACCGAAGGGTGACCCTGACACAAATGAGGAAACAGAGACTGTTTCCAGTTGACTGTATCGGACAGGCGGTAGTTCTCAATCGGCACTGATTGAGCTTTGGACCACGTTAATTATCATAATTTGGTGCTCCCGGTTAAGAAAGGAGAGTAGCTTCAGCCTGGCAGTGCTGATGTGGTCTAGTCTAGAGAACGCAATGGTCTAGGTTGAGCGGTATCTACTAGCTAGCTAGATAATAATGTATAATTAGAGGAGGAACTATGCTGGACTGGACTCCTCAACCCAGCAGTGATTGATGTTCTCCCAGAATGCAACCACAGTTCATTAATTTGTTAGGGAACTCCAACCTCACCCATGGCTAATTGTATCGTCCTAATGCTGAATAGAATAATACATGACAAAAGTGCATGGATGGGTAGTGTCATTAATGCCCATTTTGTCATTAAGAAGGTTTAATGTGTCTGACTTTCAAGTCCACTGAACAGTATAAATCGGACAGGATTGTTACAAAACAGAAATATGTTAGACGCTTTGTTGACAACCCCGACCATCACAGCAGATGTAAACTGTGTGTTTTTCTGTTTGCAGGTTGACTATTGATGCCGAGTGCCAGCTTAAACTGAACAACTTTCCAATGGATGAGCACTCCTGTCCCCTGGAGTTTTCAAGCTGTAAGTCTGGCCATATGCTCTCTATTACCCCACCGTCTCTCTCACTCTCTCTCTTGCTCACACACACTCTATCTCTCTGCATGCCGTCCACATGCCCGCTTCCAACTGCATCAGCAGTGGCAGCCAAGAACAAGCACCATACCATGCCGATGAAGACATCAGCACACTGCACAAAATGCTCCCATGTTTTTTTCCTTTTTTTACTATTGCGAGATAGGGAAAAAGGAGAGAGAAAGCAGGACATTTTGAGAGGGGAGAAGCAATACATTTTTACATTGACCTCCAAACCATATACGTTTAGATCCAGTACAGTAGCCAGGCAGGCAGGGTTGGTGAGAGAGACCACAGCCAGAGAAATCAGTGTTCCTCGTGAGGAGCTAGTGGGGAAGGGGTTTGTGGTAATGAGCCAGTAAGTGAGCTACAGATGCACCATGGGATGGTCTTCGGAGAGAGAGAGAGATAGAGAGAGAGATTCCTAAATAGCTCCAGGGCAACAAGAAAGATAAATGAAAGTTGAAGCCCTAAAAATAGAACAGAAAAACACATTTAAAATTGATGAAAGCCACGGATGATTCCAGTGGCTGAAATCAGTTTGAAATGCATTAGCTTCCCTCAGTTGCAGCACACGATGCGGCATATTTCTTTCAGCACACACTGAGAAAAAGTGCCACATGGCACAGTTTCACTGCAACCATTTTGTAATGTATCCTGAAAGCATAGCCATGGAAGGATCTTTGGAAGGATAGCATGGCCTTAATGTGGACAGCAGATAAAGACTACAACCTTCAAACCTATGTGTCTCAGGGGTTTACTGTTACAGGATATCTTTTCAATTACATAGCCCACTACAGCTTGCGCTTGGGAAAGTTGAGGTGCATTAAACCACCCCATTTAGCATGATGCCTATGCATTGTTGTTTTCTTCTCTGGACAGAAATCAACAAAGACTTGACTCAAGGTCAGTCGTTATTAGTGTCAATTCATTATTTAGGATTGCACCTTACGATGTTCCTGAATATTCATTGTCCACTTTACATTACAGTCACCTTAAACCTAAAAACCATTGGAGTGGTACAGAAGTACATAGTGTAACACATCACCCGTTTAACACATTTGAATATGGGATGGATTCAGTCATAGACCACCAGATAGTAATGTCCAGAGCTAACTGTCTCGCCACCCTTCCTCTTTTCAGATGGTTACCCCAGAGAGGAGATAGTGTACAAGTGGAAGAGGAGCTCCGTGGAGGTGGGAGACATCCGCTCCTGGAGGCTCTACCAATTCTCCTTCGTTGGCCTGAGGAACACCTCCGAGATCGTCAGGACCGTGTCAGGTAATGCTCTCGTTCTCTCTCTGTATCTGTCTCTCTGAGCTTCCCTGTTCTGAATGTGCTGTGGTTTACTCAAGGAGCCCCCTTTTCCCATACCCCTCACTTCTGCTTTCTGGCACATGCAGCTTGCATGAATGTGCACCCTGGTGAATTAGAAGACTGTGCCTGGTAAATAACAGAGGGAAACATATGCATTATTTTAGTAGATGCTCATATCCAGAGCGACTTACAGTAGTGAGTGCATATATTTTCGTACTCTGTTTATGCTGGTCCCCCATGGGAATTGAATCCACAACGCTGGCGTTGCAAGTGCCATGCTCTACCAACTGAGCCACACGGGACATTATGCATGCATACATTGTCTGTTGGTGGATTCCACTAGAAACAAAGCAGGAAATGAATTTGTCTCCTGAGGAAAATGGCTCCTCTGCAGCTACAGTGTATCAGAGGCTGGTCAGAGGCTGTTTTTAGTTGTTGGAGTTGAATGCTTATTATGTGTGGTGGTGTGTTAAGAGGCTTGTATGGAAATGCATGGATTGGTTGGGTAGTCACCGTGATATTGTCTGTAAAACTAAAGGCCAACCCAATGTTTTTTTTGGTTTTTTTGGGGGGGGTATTTTACCCCTATTTTCGTGGTATCCAATTTGTAGTAGATACAGTCCCTGTCCCATCGCTGCAACCCCCGTACGGACACGGGAGAGGCGAAGGTCGAGAGTCGTGCATCCTCCGAAACACAACCCAACCGAGCCGCACTGCTTCTTGACACAGTGCCCGCTTAACCCGGAAGCCAGCCGCACCAATGTGTCAGAGGAAACACCGTACACCTGGGGACCGAGTCAGCGTGCACTGCGCCCGGCCTGCCACAGGGGTCACTATAGCGCGATGGGACAAGGACATCCCTGCCGGCCAAATCCTCCCCTACCCTGGACGACGCTGGGCCAATTGTGCGCCACCCCATGGGTCTCCCGGTCGCGGCTGGCTACGACAGAGCCTGGATTCGAACCAGGATCTCTAGTGGCACAGCTAGCACTGCAATGCAGTGCCTTAGACCACTGCGCCACTCTGGAGGCCGGCCAACCCAATGTTTAATCAGTCATGAAGATATAATGCCATTTTAGCAGTTATTTCCCCTAAATGGCAGCTACAGAAGATTAAGTGATAACCAGAGGAAACACAATCTGTTACCATTATCATAAACGTGGCAAGAGTCTTTTTGGCTTCTGGAGGGAGAGAGTACAAATTAAGAAAGATCTTAAAAAGATACTCCATTTATTTAGGTTATTCACTTAAATGGATATTGATCACGCAGAAGGGATCTTTCTTGGCTATATTTATCTGGACTATCTCCCTGGCCTAAAGAAACATAAATGATTGTATCAGACATGCTTTAGTAGAGCAATTATGTCTGGTATTTTCTTGAGATTACATCTTAGTATATTTAGAAGGCAATGTTGTTGTTCTGAAAGGTACACATTTTGCTATGTTCTAAGACATTTCCGGTTAGTAATCCATTTACTGCAAAGGGGACATAATGTACGATGCATTTATTATATTGAATCTTTTGGTCATTGCTTTTAATACTGGTGTCATTACACATATGATGGTTAGGCTACAAAAAGGTGCCATCTAGAACCTAAAAGGGTTCTTCGGCTGTCCCCATAGGATAACTTTTTGAAGAACCATTTTTGGCTCCAGGTAAAACCCTTTTGGTTCCAGGTAGAACCTTTTTGGGTTCCAGGTAGAACCCAAAAGGGTTCTACCTGGAACCAAAATGGATTCTCCTATGAGGACAGCCGAAGAACCCTTTTGGAACCCTTTTTTCTAAGAGTGTACAGATGTCAGATAGCATATTCCTTTTTCAAAACTCCATGTAGTGGTCCTAACTAGTAATGTGAAAAATGAACAGAATGTCTTTGATGACAACAGATCCAACTCCTTTCAGCATATAGCCGTTATCAAGAGGTTATGTTTGAGGTACTCTTTTAAGTAGCCTATTTATCAAGCGAACTATTGCATGTATAGATAGTGAAATGTAACCTGACCTGTTGAAAGTGTAAAGCTGTGTATGGAGAAGATAAACTGAATGGGCAGCAACAGTCATTCTGACCTGTCAGTAAATGCGTGCAGTTTGACGAAACCTGGCACACCTCATTTTCATAGATACAAATAATAATAATAATGACAAAGCAACGCTCTAAATCTACCATGCACGGCTGCTCCGACAGCTGTTGACTTTTATATTCACACACTAGCCTGAAGTCAGTGAACAAAACAGAGGTACAATACAATGCCTTGGAAAATAACCCACTGTCTATACAACTGAGAGGGAATTACATTGATTGGAAATGGTATACTATAATCAGATTGATTGAACTTGCAATATATGCTGTGTGGGGAAGGACTAAATGGAAAGTTACTTCCTGTTCTTTTGACTTATTGGTTAGATAAACAAAATAGTGTTCTCTTACATAACAAGGGAAAGTGGATGCCCCTGTTGTAATGGTGCAGTCCACTGTGGAGTTTGCCTCTGTTTAAGATTCTGGAACACACCATCTGGTGAAAATGTATTCAGAGGGAGCGGAGAAGGGATCATGCCCTTGCACTCTGTATTTTAACTACCGTACCATCTGTGCTGATATGGGAAATGTTGACTACTTGTAGGGCATTGGGTATATGTTGCATATTGTACATTCAGAGCACATAGCTTGAGTTAATATTTAAAGTTTGGCCAAAAGCACATAAATCATTAGAGTCACTTGATTAGAGTGATTTATTGAGTTACGTACATGTTGTAAAATAGGTCAGTTAGGAGGAGCACAAGGACACAGAGAAACAAGATGTCTGTTCTTGCTAAGGTTTATTCACAGTGAGGGAGAACAGAGTACGCTCAGTGGCCAGGGGAATAGATTGTCTCACAATATCTGACGAGCCATTTTTGGACATATTATTCTAATATATTTTACATTAGATGCTCACGGTGACATGTTGAAATTCTAGTGAATTGTGATGAAAAGTGACGCTCTGAGAGGAAAAAGAGAGAGAGAACAAAAGGCAAGACAATCTGATCCTCCGCTGTGGTTGTTTGCTTTATAAGGAGGCTGTGTCTGCTTTGATTTGGTGTTCCTCCTCAGGCAACGTCAACAAACTTAGACCTTCACTATGTCACATCACATCAAGGCCACTGGAGGGCCACCAGTCTACCTGTGGATCCCTACGTCCTCCTCAGACAGTGTCCTGATCTAGCCCCCTGCTGTTGCCCATTGCTGCTGACAACTAAGGAACTAACTTTACATGGGCAAGCAGTTTGAGAGTGAGAAACAGACAACACACTAGAGGATTTGTCTGTAAGTCATTGCAGGGTCTCCCTCCATACTTGGGTAACCTTAATGCAAACTCAACGCTTCAGTCACCGGGTTAAGCCGACGGTCCGGATCTGCTCCACCCATCTGGCAGGCTGCTCCAGAGATCAGGGCGGATCAGTGACAGAGACAAGGGGAGGAGAGAGAGGGGGAGGGAGGGTGAGCAGAGAGAGAAAGAGAGAGAGTAAGACGGCGAAAGGAAAGTGACTTGAGGGTTTGAGAGTAAGTTGTGTCAGACGTTGTTGTTTTCTTCCATTTGATTTGTCCCTTGCCAAACACAGACATTTGTTTCTGAGCATTTGTGTTAACCCATTTAATCCCATTGGTCACAACACTTTACAGGCTCTAGAGAAGTTAAAGTTGTACTTATCAACAAATAAGTCCTATATTATGCATTATTAAGGTGACCATAATCAAAAAGCTGCACTTTTACAGACTAATTTGGCACCAGAAGTCAATATTTAACAGCTTAAAAAACAAATACATTGTTGACATTTTAAAATATTTTCTTTGTAAATATAATGTTTAAAGGGTCTAGTTTACATACATGCGTTCATGTTTCATGTTCAATACATTGATGCTTCTGGGATATGAAAATATCATTGTTACCAATGGGAAAATACAGTGGCTCTAACTTATTATACACAGTATATTTAATCATAGCAGATTATTTATTTTTTCAGTAGATTGAAGTTGAGTTGGGTTATGGATATACTTGATCAAGATGATGTTACAGATGATTGTACCATTATCCATTAGCCTTTACATATGTTTAAATCAGTGGTTTTGACTGTAAAATGTAATATTTTGTTATTTCAGGGGGAATTGGCCATGTATAGACCCATAAACTGAATTTGTGTAATAACTAAACAAATATTTAATGTCAATAGGTCTGTTTAGTGTCTCTTGCACAATGGTAGACCTGGTTTATGTAAGTCTTGCTGAATAGTCACTAGGGTAGACCTGGTTTATCAGAGTATTGGGACTGTCACGGACGTTGAAGGACGGGTCAGACCAAGGCGCAGCGTGAAATGCATACATGTTTATTTAACAAAATAAACACACGAACAAAACAACATAACGTGAAGTCCTCAGGCTATACACATACAAGCCTAAACACGGAACAAGATCCCACAACTAATGATGCAAACAGGCTACTAAAGTATGATCCCCAATCATAGACAACGAGCGACAGCTGCCTCTGATTGGGAATCACACCCGGCCAAACAAAGAAACACAAAACCTAGAAAGTGAACATAGAAATAACAACATAGAACTCCACACTCTGACTCAACATACTAGAGTCCCATAAGTCAGGGCGTGACAGGGACATAGCCACAGGTGTAAACCTGGTTCGTATTAGTATTTGGGCTTAGATATGCAGGTGTAAATCTGGTTTATATTATTATTGGGACTCAGTCAAAGGTGTAGACCTGGTTTGTGAGAGTACTGGAGCTTAAGTGTAGGAGTAGACCTGGTTTATAGTTTATGAGTATTCAGGCTTCAGCACATTTAGACCTGGTTTAGTTGGCTAATTGGGTTCAAGCACAGGCGCAGACTTTGTAGGTATGTAAATTGGAGCTGAAGTACAGATGTAGACCTGATTTGTATGAATATTGGGTCTGAAATGCAGGAGTACTCCTATTGTTATGACAATTGGGGCTGACATGTCGCAGTAGACCAGTTTTTTAAATATATTTTTTATCAATATTGGGTTAGACGTGCAAGTGTACATGGTCTGTAAGAATACTGGGGTAAACCTGTTCTATATGAGTATGCTCATAGATTTACCTGGTTAATACATTATGAGTAATGGGGTGTAGGGATACACAAGGCTCATACAGGTAAATGGTCTGGATGGATGTCTACTGCCCATTCAAATGCCCATTCAAGTTTGTGGTAGGAAAAAAGTGAATGGGGCTGGGGCACATGTGTTATACCACTGTGCTATGAGTTTATCTATGAAATTATTAGTGTAAACAGGTCGGAGGTCACAGGACTAAGCTATGCACATAACAGGATTAGGATGTGTAGCAAATAGCTGAATAGCGGTTACTGTTGGTGACTTGGGGAATACAGGCCTAAGGAAAGTGGGTAACAGGGCTGAGACAGGCAAGTAAAAGGGATGAGGTGAATTGGCATGAGTAACAAATTGTGCATTTAGGGCTAGGATATGGGTGTATTGGTACTTGATTGTATCAATATTAGGGTATTGCCATGTGGGTGTAGGGTTAGGGCTTGAGTAACAGGGCTGGGGTGTGTGGGTAAGTGGGCTATATAGATATTGTGGTTGAGGAATAGGGATAAATGTAAGGGTTGGTGTGAGGTGTGACCCAGGTGCGGTGCAGGATAGACAGTAGGCAGTAGGCAGAGAAGGTGAAACAAGGATCTTTACTGGTGGTGCCAAAACCAGGATACAAAATAACGGACAAAATAACGATAAAATAAAGAAGGAGCAAATTGGTCTCCAAAAACAGGATGACAGCAGAAATACGAAATACTAACAACAACTGAAAACAACAATGAAACAGGGAGAACACTTCTCAAGTACCTGTACATATGTCTCACGATCAGACACTGATGAGTACTGTTTGGCATCGAGAAACTAGCAGAGAAAACAGAGCAAGGGATCACAGGGAAGTGAGGGCATGAATACACAGGTGAACAGGTAGACACAGGTGACACCAATAGGATAAGAATTAGTCCAGACTGTGAGTGAGGGGGTGCCTAAGGTTGTCGGAGGATGACACCTAGTGGGTCGCTCCGGAACTGCGACCCCCTCCTGTAACAGGTAAATGTCTGTTCATTTTATTATAGGCAGAGCACTGTATGTTCCCATCGGTCACAATTGTGACTGAGAATAATACATTAATTTGTACATACTTCTCAATAAAATAAAATACAAATATGGGTTACATGTTAGGGTTACTAATGGCATAAGATTTGCATAGTGGCATGTCTGGAAAAATTTGGGGAACAAATGGGTTAATCATCAGCATTATTGCAAAAGGAACTCCACACATTCATTAGTCTCCTTCTGAGCGCATTAACATAATGAATGAATTGAAAAAACATTGTTTAAACAGAGCCCGGGTTATGGCTATACTCTCAAGGTAAAAAGAATCAATCGTTTCAATTTCCATATTCCACATTTCCCCCTCTGTCTCTCTTAGATGAATCATAGTATGGTTTTAAGCAGTGTAGCTGATGGTTCATTTGTTATGTATTGGTGTGTGTGTGTTTCTGTGTGTGTGTTTTTTTGGGGCGAGTGCTATTCTTAGAGTGACCTTTTAGATGCTGTGGCGTGCAGCTCTGTTGTCTGTGTGCGTCGATCTGTGTGATTTAGCTGGAGTCAAGAAAGCCTCGGGACACATCATCATCCTCCTCCGATTATGGAGCCCCACAGTTTGCAGATGAAATCTGGAGGCATTGTGGATGAAAGGAAGTGGCCGGGTCGAGGGGTGAGGGACGAGGGACAAGCACAGCACACAGGGCACACGCCGCCCGCCTGGTTAATGCGTCATTGTCCCCTCTTTAGCCCTTCGGTCACATGGGGGCCAGCAAAGAAACAAACAAAACCCAAGATGAACCGCCGCAGAAGGACAGTAGTGATGCTAGACTGAGCACTGACCAATTATCTCCAGAAAAGTCCTATTTTCTATGGTCAACTCTAATGAATGGGGGGTATTTGTTTCCTTTTTTAATCTCAGTTCTTGGATATTTGATGTTGTTATATTATTACTAGACAACCTCTACACAAGCTCTGAATAGATGGATGGACGGAGGGCTTTTGTTCCAGCAGCGTGTGTTAGTAGTACTGTACTGTAATCCCAACACAGGATATTTTCTGAGGCAATCCACTTAGGGTGAAGAGACAAACCTTGTGGCAATATAGTGACTGTGGTGGAGAGAGGTTTGGGAATCATCCCAGGGGCACTGCGGTAATGGCATTGCAACAGGTTCGATAGAAGTAATCAAAAGCAGATTAAGGAGAGAAGGTGCCAGGCTGTTTAAGAAGATGACCAAGAAGAAGTGAAAGCTCAAAGAGCCTTTCATAGGGCAGTGGAATGAATGAAGTAGAAAGAACAACTTGTATTGAACTATACTTACATCTACTCTATTTCAGGTTCTCCATTCCAGTTAAAAACAGTTCCTCAGTGATGGAGCACATTTATTAAGTGCCATTTTATCTGATCTCCACGCAGTTTGTGTTAAAAGGGTTAGGAAGGATACATACAGTATACAGTGCATTCGGAAAGTATTCAGACCCCTTCCCTTTTTCCACATTTTGTTATGTTACAGCTTTATTCTAAAATGGATTCAATCGTTTTTTCCCCTCATCAATCTACACACAATACCCCATAATGACAAAGCAAAAACGGAAATATCACATTTACATAAGTATTCAGACCCTTTAGTCAGTACTTTGTTGAAGCACCTTTGGCAGCGATTACAGCCTTGAGTCTTTTTGGGTATGACGCTTCTAGGGTATGAAACGTGCCATACCTTTATTTGGGGAGTTTCTGCCATTCTTCTCTGCAGATCCTCTCAAGCTCTGTCAGGTTGGATGAGGAGTGTCGCTGCACAGCTATTTTCAGGTCTCTCCAGAGATGTTAGATCGGGTTCAAGTCCGAGCTCTGGCTGGGCCACTCTGGAGCAGGTTTTCATCAAGGATATCTCGGTACTTTGCTCCGTTAATCTTTCCCTTGATCCTGACTAGTCTCCCAGTCCCTGCCGCTGAAAAACATCCCCACAGCATGATGCTGCCACCACCATGCTTCACCGTAGGGATGGTGCCAGGTTTTCTCCAGACGTGACGCTTGGTATTCAGGCCAAAGAGTTCAATCTATTTTTTTTGTTTTTTTGTTTTTTTTTATTT